TAACATAAGAAAAATCCCGTTTATATAAAATTTCCCTTAAAAGGAAATTTTTCAAAATGAGGGAAATTTAAAAAAAAATTCAAAATATTTATTTTTGTTTAAAATTATATTCGAAAATTAATTTAAATAATAAAAAACTTCTTTAAATAAAATTTCCCTTAAAGGGAAATTTTTCCAACTAAGGGAAAATTTTTAAATTTTATCAAATTTTTGTTTATGGCTTGAAGTTGTGTTGAAAAATCATTTAAGATAAAAAATCTCGTTTATATTAAATTTCCCTAAAAGGAAAATTTTTCAAAATAAGGGAAATTTAAAATAATTTTCAAAATATTTATTTTTGTTTAACATTATATTCGAAAATTAATTTAAATAATAAAAATCTCCTTTAAAAAAAAAAATTTATAAAATTTTTGTTTATAGCTTGAAGTTATGTAGGTAAATCATTAAAATTTAGAAAATCCTGTTTATATCAAAATTTCCCTTAAAAGGAAATTTTTTAATATGAGGGACATTTCTAAAACTTTGCACAATTTTTATTTTTCTTTAATATTAAGTTTGAAAATCAATTTAAATAATAAAAATCTTGGTTATATAAAATTTCCCTTTAAGGAAAATTTTTTTAAAATAAGGAAATTTCAAAAATTTTGCGAAATTCTTGTTTATAGCTCAAAGTTGTGTGGAAAATCATTTAAATTTAGTAAAATATTGTTTTTATAAAAATTTCCCTTAAAGGGAAATTTTTCAAATTATGAAAAATTTAAAAATTTTTGTTCAGAATTATGTTTGAAAATTAAGTTAAATAATAAAACCTCGTTTTTACAAAATTTCCTTTAAAGGGACATTTTTCCAAAATTTGGGAATTAATTTTTTTTTCTAAATTTAAGTTTTTGAATGCATATTCTATTCGAAAAAAAACTGTTTAAATAAAAATTTCCATTTTTTCATCTCCCTTTTAGATCTGCGCCTGGTCAAAATCCACAACAAAGTTCTGCAAATGCTAATTGGGTGCAATTCTAATTTTAAGCCTAAAGCTTGTCTAAGGTTTATTTAAAAATAAAAAAATAAACAAAAAATATATAAAACAAATAACAAAAACAAAAAATATTAAAATAAATTAAAACTTAATGAGGACACAATACGAATTATATAAAAAATTAATTACAATGTTTAAATAAAAAAAATATATACATATAAACAAACAAATAAACCAACAACAACAATTTAAGAAAATTATACATATTAATTATTATAAAATTAAAATGAAAAAATAAAAAAACAAACAACAAAAACAAATAAAATTCAATATAAGTTTGTTAGAGATTTTTTGCGTTCATTAAATTCAAAATCATAAAACAATATTCAAAAAACAACAACAGAAAATAAAATCAAATTATACTATAACTAGAAACTCTTCTTTTTTTGTTAAAATTTAAAGCTTAAATATTTAACAAAAACTTATTTAAAAAGAAAATGTTAAACTTTAATACACAGAAAACACACATTTTAAAATGTATAATTTTACATTGTTATCCTAGTTTGTTCTCTTAACTAAACTTGAACTATAAACAACAACAAAACTACTATTACAACAACAGTAAAACAAAACAAAATTGAAAACAAAAAACTGTTTATATTTATGTATAAAAAATTGTACTTATATTTTTAATACACTACATACAACACCATTAAACAAACAAAAACCCTGTGTCCTACATTTCCGCTACAATATTGTTTCCTTTCTACTGTTTAAAACTTTTCTTTAACTCTCTGTGTCTCTGTCTTTCTATAAAACAAGTAATGTTTTATTATTTTAAATTAAAATCTGCTAATAATCACCGTTATACTTTTTAGCTTAAATTTATAGTTAAACACAAACAAAAAACCACTAAAACTACTTCGTCGTACATACTACATAAAACATTTAATGTTTTTTCTTTATTTTAATTTGATCATAAAAAAAATCATTTTAATTATTTTAATTTAAAAATTAAGTTTTTTTATATTTCTTTTTTTTTTTAATTTGAACATTCCTTTTTTTTCTATTGAATTATTGCTAGAAAAACACAAATATTTTGTAATTAATCAGTTATTAATTGTGTGAATTTGAAATTTATTTGAATATTTGTAAACAAAAGAGAAAATGAAAAAATTAACGCAAACAAAAAAGTATTTTGTAAAATTTATTTTTTTTTTTAAATAATATTATTTTTCTTATTGAATTTTTTTTTTTTTAAATATTATAATTGAAAAATTTAATAAAATTAAATATATACATACATTTCTTTTTCTTTTGAGTACCATACTAATAGAGTGAAATGTTTTATTTTTGGATTGGAAAGAAAGTAAATTAATATCAACACTTTAGTCCAACTTGAAAACAATCAGTGCGGAAAACATATTCGACGGATAATGGAAGTAGCTGAAAAGTGAGTTGTGTTATTACATACTGCAAGTATTGATGGATAAGAATTGATGAATTAAACCAATTATTTATTGGTGGCAGCAATAAGTCGATTATTTGTTGTGGAGTAAAATTGTGCAAATCCCTTAGGGCTGTTACTGATGCAGAGATCTGAAACAACGTTTTATATCTGTAGCCATTAACCTATCTACCTATCTACTTATCTATCTATCTATCTATCTATCTATCTATCTATCTATCTATCTATCTATCTATCTATCTATCTATCTATCTATCTATCTATCTATCTATCTATCTATCTATCTATCTATCTATCTATCTATCTATCTATCTATCTATCTATCTATCTATCTATCTATCTATCTATCTATCTATCTATCTATCTATCTATCTATCTATCTATCTATCTATCTATCTATCTATCTATCTATCTATCTATCTATCTATCTATCTATCTATCTATCTATCTATCTATCTATCTATCTATCTATCTATCTATCTATCTATCTATCTATCTATCTATCTATCTATCTATCTATCTATCTATCTATCTATCTATCTATCTATCTATCTATCTATCTATCTATCTATCTATCTATCTATCTATCTATCTATCTATCTATCTATCTATCTATCTATCTATCTATCTATCTATCTATCTATCTATCTATCTATCTATCTATCTATCTATCTATCTATCTATCTATCTATCTATCTATCTATCTATCTATCTATCTATCTATCTATCTATCTATCTATCTATCTATCTATCTATCTATCTATCTATCTATCTATCTATCTATCTATCTATCTATCTATCTCTATCTATCTATCTATCTATCTATCTATCTATCTATCTATCTATCTATCTATCTATCTATCTATCTATCTATCTATCTATCTATCTATCTATCTATCTATCTATCTATCTATCTATCTATCTATCTATCTATCTATCTATCTATCTATCTATCTATCTATCTATCTATCTATCTATCTATCTATCTATCTATCTATCTATCTATCTATCTATCTATCTATCTATCTATCTATCTATCTATCTATCTATCTATCTATCTATCTATCTATCTATCTATCTATCTATCTATCTATCTATCTATCTATCTATCTATCTATCTATCTATCTATCTATCTATCTATCTATCTATCTATCTATCTATCTATCTATCTATCTATCTATCTATCTATCTATCTATCTATCTATCTATCTATCTATCTATCTATCTATCTATCTATCTATCTATCTATCTATCTATCTATCTATTCTATCTATCTATCTATCTATCTATCTATCTATCTATCTATCTATCTATCTATCTATCTATCTATCTATCTATCTATCTATCTATCTATCTATCTATCTATCTATCTATCTATCTATCTATCTATCTATCTATCTATCTATCTATCTATCTATCTATCTATCTATCTATCTATCTATCTATCTATCTATCTATCTATCTATCTATCTATCTATCTATCTATCTATCTATCTATCTATCTATCTATCTATCTATCTATCTATCTATCTATCTATCTATCTATCTATCTATCTATCTATCTATCTATCTATCTATCTATCTATCTATCTATCTATCTATCTATCTATCTATCTATCTATCTATCTATCTATCTATCTATCTATCTATAATCTATCTATCTATCTATCTATCTATCTATCTATCTATCTATCTATCTATCTATCTATCTATCTATCTATCTATCTATCTATCTATCTATCTATCTATCTATCTATCTATCTATCTATCTATCTATCTATCTATCTACTATCTATCTATCTATCTATCTATCTATCTATCTATCTATCTATCTATCTATCTATCTATCTATCTATCTATCTATCTATCTATCTATCTATCTAATTATCTATCTATCTATCTATCTATCTATCTATCTATCTACTTAACCAACTACATTTGCTCCGGTTTAGGGTAATAATTCCTCACGTATGCATTATTGGTAAACGCGAGTGAAGACAGAGACTTCGTGCCACTTCTGCAGGCAAGAACGGAGACAATCATCACTTCAAACTATACATTTTAAGCAAAATTTTCATTGTCATGTATTGACGTCTTTGGACTAGCACTCTGATTGCCTCTCTGTAATGTATGAAGTGACAATTGACTTTCTCCTAGCACAAGCACATGTTATAGTAGCTTGTCACTTGGGCAATCCCTGGTAGATCGCACCGAACTGCTGGGCAATTTCATATCACATTTCCTTTTGAATAAGTTAACTTTCTAGTTTTAAAGATTTTCGGTTTTAAACAAACCATTTTTTAATTAAATTTATAAAAGCTTGAATTTATATAAAAATATTTTCGTAACATAAGATAAAATTGAGTCAAGAAATTAGGAAAATAATTCAACTATATCGAAAGCTTAAAGAATCCACTCGTAAATAAAATTAAATGAATTCGTTCGAAGAATTCAAATATAATTGAATTTCACGCACGTTAAAACTAATTTACCCTAAGCATACTTCCCTTAAATAGCAACTCTGTCATTTGTTTACATTTAGAAGACGTAGAAAAAAACGAAACAGCTGATCGATGACAACAATCAATTTGTTTTTGTGTCAGCCACCGCCGTCGTACGTGTAAAAAGATATTTTCTTTAATTTTTTTTAAATAAAATCTTAATGAAATTATAAAGAAATTTTGTAAATCATAAATATTACAAAATAAACAACAATTTGCAATGTATACCTTGCTAAATGGTTTCTATAAATATCTAACACAAAAAGATGAATACTGTGTAGTAATATTGGGTTTGGACAATGCTGGCAAGACGGTTAGCTTATAATTACAATAAAATGCTAAATAATTTGTTTATAATTAAAACGCATTTACATTGCAGACTTATTTGGAAGCAGCCAAAACAAAATTTACGAAAAACTATAAAGGAATGAACCCAAGTAAAATAACCACTACCGTAGGACTTAATATAGGAACCATCGATGTGCAGGGAGTGCGTTTGAATTTTTGGGATCTGGGTGGTCAGCATGAATTGCAGTCATTGTGGGATAAGTATTATCAAGAATCGCATGCGGTCATCTATGTGATAGACTCCAACGATAGAGATCGTATGGAAGAATCAAAAGTTATTTTTGGTATGTGATAAAGGATGATAATTAGAAAATTGTAATTTTATAGCGTTTATTTTGTTATAATTAGATAAAATGATACAGAATGATTTGCTCTCGGGTGTTCCTTTACTGATATTGGCTAATAAACAAGATTTGCCTGATGTTATGGGTGTCAGAGATATAAAACCAGTATTCCAACAAGCGGGCGGTTTTATTGGCCGACGTGATTGTCTTACCATACCGGTATCTGCTCTGACGGGGTTAGTTTTATTGTGATAAGAACATCTATATATAAAAACAAATGCTGTCATCTTGTAAGTTTATTTTATTTTGTAATATTTTTATTTCTTTATTGACAGCGAAGGTGTAGATGAAGGCATTAAGTGGCTGGTGGAAGCCATAAAAAGACATTCTATAGTACGACCACCACGCGTGAACGACTGATGATAGATTTGTATTTATAGTTTTCTCGAGAAAGTAAGATAAATGAAATGTTCTTCTTTTTTTTTGTAATAAGCTTTTATTTTTTGAATTAGCTTTATGCTAAAGTATATTCCAGATTATTTTCTACTTTTTTTTTTTTTTGTAAATGTACAAAATATTTATAAAAAAGTATATAAACGAATATTTATGAAATTACTTATAATGGAATTTTTGTAAAAAGGTTATAAACGGTTTTTGAAAAGGTTAAAGCTTTTTAAGGGTTTATACTGTTAATTTTTATGTAGTTAAAAAAGCCCTTTTCGTTGAGAAAAAAGCTTTTAATTCATAAAAACACATTTTTCTTCTTCTATGCGTTAAAACCCTGAAGTCTTCCAAAATCTTTCTAATTAAAATTTTACCCACCTTATTAAATCTTATTATGACAGTAACGTGCATTTTTAATAAATTCCCTAACTGTCATTGGTTGCTCAATTGTTTGATTACCTCTTACTTTTATTATTTATTTAATTATTTTTTTTTTACATATAATTAATACAAATTGCTTTTACAATATAAAACAACACTACACTCACCTTCTCGAAAAACTGAAAACAGTATAAAACTTCTTATCATTTAACATTATTTTAATGCTCTTACTGATAAGAACTTTACCAAATACTAAACTAACTAGATACTCACCTAGGCAAACAGGTATAGCACACATTCTCTTTTATATACTATATATACATAGACAGGAGAAAAGGCACCAGAAGATAAGCTCCCTCACCAAATAATACAAAATTTAAAACAAGGGGTTTTCTCTGTTTTATAAATTGTTCGTTCCACAGTTATAGACATATTTAAGGTCTTTTCGAAATTAAACTTCTTACGGTTTAGATAAAAATAAAATGAATACGTATGATTTTAAAAGGTGTCGAAATTAAAAAATATATAGCTTAAATTTCCTTTTTGTGATTTGTGGTAAAATGTTTAAAGAATTTACAAATAATTATAATTAAAACAGAGAGTTAATATTAGTAATTAAAACAAGTGTGTATAAATTTATTATTAAATAAAAAAAATTAAGGAAAAAATAAATCTATAGTATAAAGATAACACCCCAAACGCATATGTTATCAGTCAGTATTGGTGTTCAATTGTTATTTCTATCATAGTAAAAAATTTGTTATATTTTGATATCTTTTAAAATAATTTCTTACACAAACAAAAAAGTGATTTAGTAATTGTTAAATCATTAATTTAATTTAAGTGAAATAATTGGTATTATTTAAAAGTGTTTGAAAAGGTTTAGCAAATAGTTTCATCGTTTAGTATCGGCTGCAATTGTTTGTTTTGAAAATTTTCAAATATGTATCCTTATTATGAACAAGATTGGAGCGTTTTACCTCCGGATAATAATCGTAGGTAAGTACAAATACTAAAGTTTAATAGAATTAAAGAAATGCATGCATTTAATTTAAAAAGTATATATGTATATAGGGTTTCACATAGATAGATAGATAGGTAGATAGATAGATAGATAGAACGATAGATAGATAGATAGATAGATAGATAGATAGATATATAGATAGATAGATAGATAGATAGATAGATAGATAGATAGATAGATAGATAGCTAGATAGATATAGATATATAGATAGCTCGCTCTCTCCTCGCTCGCTCGCTCGCTCGCTCGCTCGCTCTCTCGCTCGCTCGCTCGCTCGCTCGCTCGCTCGCTCGCTCGCTCGCTCTCGCTCGCTCTCGCTCGCTCGCTCGCTCTCGCTCGCTCTCGCTGCTCGCTCGCTCGCTCGCTCGCTCGCTCGCTCGCTCGCTCTGCCTCGCTCGCTCGCTCGCTCTCGCTCGCTCGCTCGCTCGCTCGCTCGCTCGCTCGCTGCTCGCTCGCTCGCTCGCTCGCTCGCTCTCGCTCGCTCGCTCGCTCGCTCGCTCGCTCTCTCGCTCGCTCGCTCGCTCGCTCGCTCGCTCGCTCGCTCGCTCCGCTCGCGGGCTTTCTGTCTCTCCTCCTTTCTCTCGGGCGCCTTCCCCTGTTTCCTGTCGGCTTTCTCTCTTTTCCCTGAATTCCTACCATCCGCAAGAATACAAATAGGCCTCCGCCAGATTTCTTGTGTGCTGCTTTATCAGTGTCTGGTGAGAAATGAACCCACGACATCCTGTCTACAACAGACTTGAGCAATAATCCAACGGAGGCAGCGCTTTATTACTAAATTTATTTTCATCCTAATTCATTATTTTTAAGTTCTGAAGAGGCTTTTCTAATAAATTTAATTTATAATAGAAATTCATATATCAATATATATAATTACTTAACTATATTCATGTCTGTTCTGTAAATCGAACTGGTTTCAAAACCGAGAAATTTTTAATCCCGAATTTGATGTTATGCAAATCGAATTTTATTTGAAAGTAAAATTCAGAAAAACAAACATATTTTTAATGAAAAAGAGTCTAAAATGTCCATAGTATTTATATCAACTTATAATTGTACTAAAAACCGCAAAAAATGTTTTTTTAATTTATTGGAATAAAATTATATTCGATTTAATTTCCACTATATTTGTGTACTCGGCTTTAAAACGAGAAATTTACTAGGATTCGTTTTACACAATAGATAATAAATAACCTGATTAAAAATACTTTAAAAAATATAAATTTTATTTTTAAAATATTTCTATTATAATTTTAAAAGCCCACTGTTTATATATTTTCTTCATAACTCTACAAAAAGAGTAGCCAAATTCTTCCCCAATTGGAATACAATTGTCAAATTGAACAAAAACAATCTGGCCACACTCGTCTCTCAATTATTTTGACACATAGTGGTTTTTTCTTTTTTACGTACAAGCTGCTGAAAAATTTTCGGAATTTTTTCAATGTTAAAAAAATCTATTTATTTGCATTAATTTTATTTAAAATATTATAAAAACATAAGCAGTAGTGCGTACATTAAACGGCCCTTAATATAATTAATAAATATAAACGCAAACATTCCACAATAAAAGTAAAATAAAAAAGTGAAAAATTAAAAAGAAAAAAAAAAAAAAATTGAGTCAAGGAAAGAAAAAAATTTGTCGCGTTGTTAAAAGGTAGAATTAGCCAAGTAAAAGAAAACGGGTAATAAAAAAGTAGTAGTGTATAATAACGTGAATGATACGACGAGAGTGAAGAAGCGAGTCTGGCAAATGATGAAATAAGAGATTATTTTGAAAAAATATATAATAAAAATAAATATAATTTATATAGTGCTAATAAATAATAATTAAAAACAAGATATACAAAAAAAGAAACGTAACGTAATACGGTAAAATAATTAAATCAAAGTGAAAGAAAGCGAAATTATGTTTAAAATTATATTACATTGTTTCCTTTAATTTTAATTTTTCAAAATTCCCTTACATTAAAAACTTATTTGAACACCTGTCATGTTTTATTTTTCGTTTTAAATTTCTTTTGGTTGTTGCCCAAACAAAACAAATTTTACAAGTTCTTCCTCCTAACAGCCCGCCTTATGTTTCCTTCCTTAACAACATACTTTTTGAAAAAGTACTTATTTTACCATTATCCTGTCATTTTTTTACTTGCGCAGTACCTCTCTTTAGACGTTTTTTTTCTACATTTCACACTTGACCAATTTTTGTCGTTTTTCGAAATGTTTTCTTTTTTTTTTTTGTTTAAGTTTGTTTTCCTTCCTCTTTTTGACCAATTACCCCTGTGTTTTTAATGTTTTTGCTGCTGCTGCTGTTTGTTGTTTTTGTAGTTGCTGCTGTTGTTGTCATCATTAGTTTGTTTTGTTTTATTTGTTCTTATGATATTTTGTATTTATTCCTCTTCTCTTTCTACTGTCTACAATGTCATTTTAATTGTAAATTTGGAGACTTGAATTGCATATAAGAGGCGGTTTTCTTTATTTCGTTGTATGTACACAAAATTAGAAGAAAAATTAAGTAAATGAATAACATTGATTGTGCATGAGATGACTAATATTTAATTAACAACAAAAATAAGTTAATATTTAGTTCATTGAATGTGCAAATACCTACCGATTCGTTGCTTTTACAAATATTTGTTGTGTAGAGTTAAGAAAACAAATACAATTACTTTTGTAGAATGCTGTCAATCGTATCGTATTTGTACACGAGGGTAGATTTTAAATTTATAGTTTATTATTTTGAAGAGTTTGATTTGCTTGATCTAAGAATCTATTCAAATTACTTAGAAGGTATAAAACTAAGTTTTATTTTCTGAGCGAGCTTGTCCATAGATAAGTCCATACAGTAGTCAATAAAATAGTACATAAGTTAGCCAATGTCCAGTCCATAAACAAGCAAGACAATAGGTAAGTCTATGGTAAACTTGTTAATGAACTAACCTGGAATATGGGATAATTTTGCCAATCGAACCCACAATCACATTACTAAGACCTTCACTACTATTCTACAATTAGGGTATTAATTATATCGAAGCATTTTCGTAGTATCAGTTGTAATTAGATTAATTATTAAAAATAAATAAACATTTAATTGTAATTTTTCTAATTACCCTCGTTAATTAGCAACAATTTTTCAAAACCCTGTGGCAACCTCACCATTACCAATCTTTGTATATATAAATTCTCCACTATTTCTCTGTGTAGCTGTCAAATACATATGTGTCAGTGTTGTTGTTGTGTCGTCGTTTTGGCCAACAATGAGAAAACAGTTTTTAGGTAGTAACTAGTTAGTAATTGTCATATCACGGCTATTAACAATTAACAAATGCAAAGTAAAGTGAAAAAACAAAATGAAATAAAAAAAAACAATTCTTAAAATACTAAAAGCAAGCGAAAATAACAATATAAATAATTAAATAAAGTAAAAATTATGTGTGGCACGTACCAAACGCAACAACTTTAAAATGTTGATGTTCTACAAAAATGTTTAATCAATCAAATCAATTAGTTTTTGTTTTAGTTCTGCATTAACCTTTTGGAAATTTCTCTCTACTACTTGCTGCTACCGATTTTTATTATAATTTTCTTTATATTTTGAGTGTGTGTATGTGTTAAAAAGGTGAACAAATTAAACCTTATTTTATAATACGGAATTGTAATGAATGAATGGCTGAATGTTGGCAGTTTGGTTGGATGTTATACTTGAACAGGAAAAAGCCATAGACAGACAGACGGACGGACGGATGTACGGAAACATACAATTTGACCTCTTCGACTACTATTGCTTTTGTGTGTTTTGTTTTTAGTTTAATACTAGATACTATTATTAAATACTTAATACAGTTTTATTAAGTGGCTTAAGAATGATATTCAATACAACAAAAACTTATAAAAGAATAAAGATGTATAAAAAAGCATGTAAAACAATGTAAAAAGTCCAAACTACGGAAAGAAGCCTAAAATAATAAGTGTATGCATTTATTCGGATCTAACAGCAACTAACATTGCAACAAATTACATGGAATGTTGGCAGAATCAACATTAAACCCACACACACACTAGCTTTTCAGGCCTTTATAGTTTATATACCCTACACCTTTATATTGAGGAGTTTCATGGCAGAACTATTATGCCATAAGGAGGATTAATATTTGTAATAAATATAAATATTGGACTTATATAATGAAGTTTGTGTCTCCCTGTTCGCTCATGTAAGAAAGCCGTATAATTTAATTTCTACTGTACCCAAAACAAACCAATATTTCACTTAACGTTTGTTTAATTTGATGAAATATTTCGCCTAACGACCAAACTGCACGTCAATTAACCGAAATGTTTACAATTTAGTTCATTTCATATGTATTTGGTTCCCATATAAACCTATCTTCCGGATATCATTTAAACCTTAAAAATATTAGAAATCTTATAGCTTAGGTTATCTTAAAGTCGGTTTTGCTTAGCACTACTTTCTTACTTGTTTTTCATTTCTTCTAATTTTATTTATGCCAGCGTACTTCTTGTGGAGGTGTGGGCCTTTTGCAAACATGCATTTGTGATTTCCCGTCTATGGTTTTTATTTTGCAAATTTATTTGATTACAAGCAGACTACATTTATACAAACTGAAAATCATAAATTTAAAGCCATGATTGGTTCTTTGA